ACACACACACACACACACACACACACACACACACACAAACACACACACACACACACACACACACACATCTATAGCATGTAAAGCTGACATGGCCTGCATGCGACGTCAGCAGTACGGTGTTTGCTGTAGGTGAAATTCGCCACATAGATATAGTGTCAATAAACAACAAGCCTACATAAGCTTGACACACACACACACACACAAAATCATTAAAAAAACTTAGGTTCAGTGCATACACAGATTACTCAATGTATCCATGCTAAATGATTACACAGATTCAAAGTCCATACTTTACTTGAAACCTTTGGCGGGGGCATGATACACATTTGCCGAAATCCGTTTCACACAGACAGACGGTGTCCTGGTCACTATGGCTAAAAGACTTGGCAAGATTTCATAATATTTCAACAAGAACAGTTTCAATTTCCATGATTTATAGCCATAGAGTATTACAATACAGATTTGTACACTCTTCATTGTGTAAAATATTACGTACACACTATATATATATATTAGTCGAGTTGCAGAATATGGAAATTTGACTGAACGTTGCAATCAGCTAGGTATATACAAGGTTTTTTGTGGTTTCTTGATCTTTAGACTATCATGAACCAGAATCCACCGCGTGCCACTTTGGCACCCTTAAGCAATTTTTTTATCACAAAAAAATGCAGATCCTATATTTCCCCATTTGAGTTTGTATAAATTACGGCGGTAGGCATGCTAAACTTGCAATAACTTTTGTAATATTCGGCCAATCCTCAAACATTTGGTATTATTTTGTTCACTAAACACTCATGCAAAATTTCCCCGTCACCACTCGCCTGTGGCTTGCACGCACGCTGCTGCGGGGGTCGAATTGTCATGGCTTCTAGGATGAAACGGGCAGCGTCTACGGTTTAATTAGAAATTTCCCCGTCACCACTTGTCTGTAGCTTGCACCCACGCTGCCGCGGGGGGTCGAAACGTGTTCACTTACAGGCTATTGTTTGGAAGACTGCCGAAGAACAAAGCCCCACAAACGTAGATATTTCAAACTATGGTTGGAAACTTATTGAAGGCAAACCTCATCCCACTTTTGGAAATGCAACAGTTGCAGCTCCAGAACTCATGAAAGTTGTTGCCTGCAGGTGTGCCTCAAACACGCCATGCCATACTGGAAAGTACAGTTGTAAGGATATTGGATTGTCATTCACATCATTCTATAAATGTGAGACTAATGATGATAAGTGTCACAATGAACACACTGCTAGACATAATTCTAGTGATCAATCTGAGATACATATTGACAGTGATAGTGGCAGTTCAGGTAAACTTTCTATATCAGATGATTCACACCTGAATTGAAGGTGAGATGTGTAAATGTATAAATGATATCTGATGTATAATGTATTTATATTCGAACATATTAGATCATCTTGTGAATTTTAGTGATATACTCACTACATAATTGTGTGCTAAGACCCAACTAACATTTAAAAGTTTCATATAGAGACAATTAAAATATACATGTGTAATAGACTGTCAATCTATGGCTTCGCTGATGGTTTGTGGCGGCCATTTTGAATTCTTGATTTCTGATGGTCGTATGTTGTGGGTGTAATTAGTCTAGGATTGTGCATGACTGTTTAATTACCAAGGCAATACCAAATGTTTGAGAAATGACCGAATATTAAAGAAGTTATTGCATGCCTACCCCCTTAATTTATACGGACTCAAATGTGAAAATATACGATCTGTATACGATCTGCATACGATACGATACGACGCGATAAAGAAATTGTCCAATGGTGCCAAAGTGGCACGCGGTGGATTCTGGTTCAGGATAGTCTAAAGATCGGAAAACCACAAAAAAAACCTTGTATATACCCGATTGCAACGTTCAGTCGTTTGGCAACCGGACTATATATATATATATATATATATATAT